CAGCAGGGAGCTGCTAGAGGAGTGAGTCTGGGGGACGGGTGCCCCGCTCTCCCGCGTGTGGCCTCCAGGAGCCGCATGGAGCCTCCAGGGAAGCGGGTTCCGGGAGGAGCTGCGGTTTCGCCTTTTCATCCCCCAAAGGCGCAGACAGGGAGGGGGTCGCTGTGCTCTCTGACCGGCGGGACGGACGCCCCTTCCTCTCTGCACCCCAGGTCCACACCCTCGCGCTCTCCCGTTTCCTCCGGTTCCTCTTCCCTCGTGTCCTCACTTGGCAGAGCTCCGTGCCGCCGTGCGTGACCTTAGAGCAGTGGTCGGCAAACTGCGGCTCGCGAGCCACATGTGGCTCTTTGGCCCCTTGAGTGTGGCTCTTCCACAAAAAACTGCGGCTCATGAGCCACATGTGGCTCTTTGGCCCCTTGAGTATGGCTCTTCCACAAAATACCACGTGCGGGCGCATATACAGTGTGATTGAAACTTCGTGGCCCATGCGCAGAAGTTGGTATTTTGTGGAAGAGCCACACTCAAGGGGCCAAAGAGCCACATGTGGCTCATGAACCACGGTTTGCCGACCACTGCCTCAGAGCCTTCGCGGAAAGGCAGTTAATAAACCCAAATCGCACGCTCCCCTTCTCTGATTTGGTGAAACGCAAAGGACATAAAATGTACCGTGTTCACCGTTCCTGCGCGCACTGCTCAGGTGTATCAAGCACGTTCACAGTGCTGTGCAGCCGGCACCGCCATCCTTTCTAGAACTTTCCATCTTCCCAATGAACTGGCTTTTTAAAAAATATGTTTATTAATTTAAAAAAAAGTTTATTGACTTCAGAGAGGAAGGAAGAGGGGAAGAGAGAGAGAGAGAGAGAAACATCAGCCATGAGAGGATCACGGACCGGCTGCCTTTGCATGCCCCCCACTGGGGATGGAGCCTGCAGCCAGGCCTGTGCCCTGACCCCTGGTTCACAGGTGGACGCTCAGCCGCTGAGCCTGCTGGCCGGGCAGCTCCGTTCCTGTCTAAGGGAATGTCCCATGTGTGATGGCCACGTGTTGTGTGTCCCTCTGTCCATCCGGGACCGACTGTTGGTCCTTGTGGCGAGCGTGCGTGATGCTTGGACGAGGGGGCAGGTGTCTCTTCGAGGCCCTGCTCCCAGTTCCTCGGTGGCAGCCCCAGACGTGGGGGTGCTGGATCGTGGGGTGCTGGGTCGTGGGGGTGCTGGGTCGTGGGGTGCTGGGTCACGTGGACCTTCTGTTCTTCGTTCCCCGAGGCCCCTCCACGCTGCCTTCCACGCGGCTGCACCTTTACGTTCCCCCCCGCCCCCCAGTGCCCGGGACGCGCTGCTCCCCGTCCTTGTCGACACTTGTTTTGCTTTGGGTGTTAGTTTGTGGGTGCCCACCCCCATGGGGGGGGAGGGTCATTGTAGTTTTGATGTGCGTTTCCCTGGCAACGAGGATGTTGAGCGTCTTTTCCGGTCCTGGGGGCCCTGTGCACTGTGAGCCGGGGACATGGGCGTGCGATGCGAGAGCCGCCCCCCCAGTTCGTGCCGTGTGCCC